TTTTCTTAAAGGTTCAGTGTTTGATATTTAAGTGAAAGGGATCTATTGGCAGAAACTGAATATTAAATATTTCAAGTGATATTTTCACTAGTGTGTTTCGTCTAAAATGTATGAGTTGTTTTTTTCTTTACCCTAAAATGAGCACTTTATGTGTAAATACTTAGAAGAGTCCTCTTTGCTGAGGCCGCAATGTGTTTTACAGTAGCCCAGACTGGACAAACTAAACACCTTCTTGAGTTTTTATGACAACTGAAGGCTACAACAGGTTCTCTTTAAAAGGGGAGGATGAGAAGAGGGGTATTCAGCTGCAACATGCAACTTCACCACTAGATGTTACTAAATTCTACACACTTAAAATCACAAATGCACAAATAAAGTGGCAATTAATGAAGTTAAAAATGAACATACGTTAACCAATTTTGCTTGAGAAGAACTTGAAAACTTTGTAATTCAATAAGGGACTACAGTAAAAGATGACAGACAACACACCTTTAATCGCTTCCCAACATCAACCTGCACCATCCCGGTGGATTTTTTTAAGTTCTGCGGTATACGAGCAAATTGTAAGTTGATCATTGGTCTCTCTTGTAAATTTATATAGCCCTTCTCTAGTCTTGATGACCACTCAAAGTGCTTTACAGTACAGTGTGCCGTGCATCTATTAGCAGCACTTCTTGTTCTATGAGGGGCCATTCGTGGTTCAGCATCTTGCCCAAGGACACTTCGGCATTCAGATGGGGAAGACTGGGGATCAAACTGCCGACCTTCTGGTTGGAGGATGACTGCTCTTCCTCTCAGCCACAGCCGCTGTATGAGGCTATAGTGAAATTGAATTTTTCTTGCAGCTGTATCTCTCCCTCTCTGGCCTCCTCCCTCTTTGTTTGTTGCTGTTTTATTTTGACATTGATCCACTATATAGCTTCCAGCAGAAGTCACAGTTCTACTGATGGCCACTCCATCATCCTCCAGGACTTGAATTAACCAGAAGAGTACCAACTATAGACACTCTGCAGGCATTTCTTTGTGTTACCTAACTTACTTATTCTTGAGGACAATTATTTTACCTACAGACTGACAGGAATGCTGTGGGACATACATGGCCAACACAGAAGATACCATACGTTATCAGCCTGGAGTTAGGTTAGCAGTCTGTGGATTTTAAAATAAAATCAGACCACTGATTGACTGATTGTGTCTGCTCACAAATCTTAAATCTTTTTCACGACTATTTTGCAGCCAGTCGGACAGAGGACATCCTCTCTGCTATCGCCATGGTTACTGAACACACATGTCTGACCTTTCACAAAAGAACAACAGAGACTAACCACCTGCTCTTCAAGATCGGCAAAGGGTGTGTACTGTTTTCTTGCTCAGGTTTGCAGCAGTCCTATCGCTGACGAGGGGGAGAGGCAGAGGAAGTGAAGTGGTGTTGTGCATGGGTTCTTGGTGTCATTTCATATTAAGCCCCTTCAGCCAGTCATATATCTATTTTGTCAGGTTAAAAGCTATTTGTTTTGAAAAGTCACATCCTTTGCTTTGGGTTTCCTGTCTGAAATGGAGGTTTTATGGTATGGAGATTGGGTAGAGGTCAACCTGCAGGTCATAGGGCTGGATTTCTACATCCTGGCTCAGTAAGGTCTGCTATACTGCTGAGTTTTCAGTTTTTATCAATGTTTATCAAACAGCTTTTCGTTACCTTAATATGCATCAACTGTTGTATTCCAGATGTGCGTCATACGTGGGCTTAGTTGGCGGCGAGCAGCCTGTGTTTGTCGCTCCTCAGTGTATTATTGGTAACATTGTCCATGAGATTCTTCACGCGTTGGGTTTCCACCATGAACACACGAGGATGGACCGTGAACAATACATCACCATTTTCCCTGATAATATCATGAAAGGTGATGGTCGTGTTCTCTCCTGAGGAATTTTGGAGTGGTGACACTTGTGCCTCTGCTGAGTGAAAACCATATGGTTGTGTTTCAGGGATGCAGAGAAACTTCAATAAGCAGCAAGGAAACACTTTTAATCTTCCTTATGACATCACATCCATCATGCACTACGGAGGGTAAAGTGTCAAAGAGCATGTAAATTTAAGTTTCTTTCTTTTTGTCCTCTAACAGTGATTTAGTAACTGATTTTATTCTTGTGTCAGAGGGTTTTTTTCAGCAAATGGTCAGCCCACCATCGTGTCAATAAAAGACATAAAGGAGATGGGACAGAGGGCTAAAATGACACAGCTGGACATCCAGAAAGTTCGTCACCTCTACAAGTGTGGTAAGTGCACTTTCTTTCTTACATCAGACATTTAAGCAGTTTCCCACTCCCACTATACATACTTTGTACATTGTGTTATATGATTTAATATGCTTATGGACTTAAAGGTGCAGTGTGTAGAATTTTGTGATATCTACTGTGAAGTTGCATGTTGCAGCTGAACACCCCTCACCTCACCCTCTCCTTCCAAACATGATAAAGAACCTGTGGTAGCATCAGTTGTCATAAAAACTCAAAAGGTGTTTAGTTTGTCCAGTCTGGACTACTGTAAAAAACATGGTGGCCTCCATAGAGAGGACCCCCTCCATGTAAACATAAAGTATTTAAATATAAAGGGTCTTTTCTGGGGTAAAGAAAACTACAATTCAGTGGAGGACTATTTCAAGTCAGAGTTAACATTTGACTATTTCAAATGTTAACTCTAAGCAGCTTTTGTATGAACTGTGTAGAGTTACATTGCGTGTTTGTTTGGGAACCCATACATACTATTTTTAGGAGTTCATCTTGATGTAATGGTCACAGTAATGGTAATTCAAATTTACTGTTTTGCAGGTATTTTGTCATAAACCACAGCAAAATATATTTGACCTAATGATGGCTCTGGAGGAAAAGTCAGTGGATTACCGCCGGGGTTCACAAATGTCTTCACAGAATTTCATCCCAGTCCATTCAGTTGTGGTCATTCTTTGAGCTAGAGCACTAGAGAAGCTATACATGGTCTGTATTTAAAGAGTAAAAATAAATCTTGAGAAATCAGAGTCCATACTGTACACTTCAAACAGCTGACAGCCACATGGGAGTAATACATGTGCACATAGAGAAGACTGCTTAATTCTATTTCCACCTCTCCACACAGATGCAACAGAAACACAGACTGGGAAGGGAAGTGGTGAAGCAGACAAAGAAGGCAGTACGTCAAATGCTGAGGAGGATACTAACTCCATGATCCAGGATGTGAAGGTCTTCTTCAACAGCACCAGCAGAGGAAACCAGAGTATTGTTCCTGCCGGGGGATAACCAGAGGAAAATCGCACCGCTTCACAGCAGCACCTGGACACTGCCACTGGAGGGCCCAATAATACCAGCCAGCAAACAGGTTTACGCTGAGCTGTGATAAAATCTTTTAATAAAACTCAAATATTCAAACCAGTTTCTAGTGGATTTGCCTTCCCTGGTTTCACACTATGTCAAGATTATATTTGTGTTAACTGCTACTACAGTCACTATAGTCATTTCAGTCTGAGTCCTCAAAATTGAATTTACTTAAATCTTCGACTAAAAAAAATATATATATATATATTTCAGCCGCCTAGAGATCAGAGATGTTTACATTTGAGGGCCTTGTTTGGAGCAGTTAGTTTAACCAAGTACATGTGTAGTCATGGTTTTAATAAAACCAGCCATGAAAAATGATTTGCCTTGTCTCTCAAATATCAACTGACAAATATACCATCTCCTAAATTGTCCTGCACTTTACATTTTAACTTATATCAAAGTGTCGTATATTGGGGTTGCGATGATGTGAAGATGATGAAGGAATCTCCGATGACACCGACTTGATTGTATATAAAGGTTTATTACAAAAAGTTCAGCATCAGTACAAGCAAAGCAATCTGCCTGGAGAAAGATTCGGGGCCAATGTGAATCTCTTCTTCTGCCTGGAGAGAGATTCGGGGCCAATGTGAATCTCTTCTCTTCTGCCTGGAGAGAGATTCGGGGCCAATGTGAATCTCTTCTCTCGAAGCAACTTCATCTCCTCGTTTATATAGGAGGGTTTGCGTAAACCTAATTAAAACACATCTAGTTACTTATCCAGCTCTTCCCGGTTATCCAGTAATGGGAAGAGAGATACTATCTCAAATTTTAGTGTTCRCRTTTGAAGTYTGTCCTAACACCCTACTATTTATTCAGGCTTACTCCAAATTCCTCAGGACCGGTGAACCTCAAACCCACATATACGTTTCTTTTATGGGGAGGACTACACATAGCATTTCAGACACCACAAAAGGCAAAATTGTCTGGTGTTGAAAGTAACAGATCTCCAGTCCTCCCTCACATTCATGTTACCTCCTGCCCCATTAGCCTTTGTCCAATTTTTAAAGTCTGTTTTTACAAGTAAGGTCAACACAATTATTTTTATAGTCAAACATGACACCAAACAAGGATAAGCTTTCTATTGTAAAATTCTGTTGCCAAAGGACACTTTCCTAAACCCGTTTTGTGGCCAAATAAGTTGGTTGTTATACCAGTTACCTCGAACAGGGTTCAGGCTCATAGCTCCTCGGGGATCAACAGGGTCACAACAAGGAGGTTGAGTTCTTGTACTGAGTCTGAGTTAAATTCTGAAATGGGACAGATTTTGCAAAACAGTGTCCCCCAGGAGATTTCAAACTAAAAATGTTGTTTTAATTGGTTTTTAGAAAAACAAAAAGCACCAAGTGTTTCATGTAAATCCAAATTCAAAACATGAATTGTCTTAAAACTTTCATACTAACATTTCCTCTCAGAGATGTCACTTTAAGATTTGGATATATTATATTATTAACATCAACAAATCCCATAAAATACTGATCGTCTAACAAGTTGTGGTGGAATGCAACCAAACCCAAATTACCCTGGTGTGTGATGCATGCAAGAATGTGTGATTCAGTTTTGAGTGGTCATTATCTCAATATTAGAAAAGTCCAGTGAGTGTACAAAAAGGTATATTGAGAGTCAAGAATGATACATTGAGGATTTTATTGGTTCAATAAAAGGAGTAAGTGGACCATTAAGTGTAACATTGTACAGTACAAGTGTCAATGTAAACTGCAGCTGAATGGAAATGATCTGAAAGAGACAGTTGAGTCCCAAACCACATCTGATCCCTCTGGTAAATGTAACACGTAAAGCAAAGACTGATGAGGTTAGCAGGTGCATCAAGTACTGGGACAGAACAAGTCAAAGACCAATCAGACAAGGGCTACTAATGTAGGACCAGGAAACACAGCCGAAAATAACCATAAATACATTTCCTGGAGATTGAAAAAATGATCACTGCCTGATTCTTCTTTACCTTATTCTGATGGAATATTTCTGATGGAATCTAATGTTGTGCAGAGACACAGCTGTAAGATACATGTTTGTGAAGACAGGTTTGTTATAAATTAATGGGCAATCTCAGAGTGCACCAGTTTGTAGTAGGAACCACAGGACGGGCAGCGCTGGGCCTCCCCATCATGAATCCAGAACCACACCACAGATGTGTTGTCTTCTTCACCTACAGAGACGAGACAAGGTGAGAGACACAAAGAGGCTCTTAAGCAAAGATCACTTTACATCTGATCCAATTATTATGAAGAAAAATGCATTACTGGAGACCAAGATCAGAACAGTGAAACATGTTTTTGTAAAAACAGCAGGAACACGTGAATTTAGAGACGAATATCAGTCTGTTTGAAACTATGCATTGCACCACTGATGTTCCACCTGATTGGGTTGAGTAAAGTCAAACGTTCCATTTTACAGAGAGCTACTTTTATTTGAACTGTCTCAACTTTATCGCGAGCTCTCATAATACTCACGAGTTCTCGTGAGAACAGCAGCAGTAACTAGGAGGAGGATAACAGTTGAAGTTTAGGTTTAAAACAGTGTAAATGAAGCTGTTTATCGTTGCCAACATCCACTATTAAAGCATATAACAGTGGTTCTCAATCTTTTCGAGTAATGTCACTAGTATAACCAGGTTTGGGCATTAGTTGTAAAAAACATGAAGTGTTCTGTGTTTGTTATGTGCTTGTGTGAAGTTTACTTTGTGTTTGATTCGCTCGAGAGTTTGAGACACATTTTTAAATGTTGAAAAAAGTCCTACATTTTGCTCACATGCAGTTCACTTAAAATAACAAGTTGATGACCTTTGATAAATGTGAAAACACTACCATCATTTTATTGATAATATATTATGTCGATACAAAACTTGGGAATGACAACAGTTTGTGTAATACTGCACATCTTAACAATACTGCGATAATAATGACAACCATGATCATTTTGTTCACTATAATCATCATTATACTATATTATACTATATATATTATATTATACTATATTTTATCTCTATTAAAGAGTAAAGCTTCTATTTAATCATTTAGCTACATTTTCAGTCTGAGGTTTGCTATTTTAATTGGTTCTCCTCTGCGGTTACAAAAGACTTAAATGACTTAAGTCTTCAAAAACTGAATTTAGGTTTTAAGAGAGAAACTTACAGATACATCCCACAATCCTCTTGTTTGTGATTGAGGGAACAATGTTTGGATCTTCCTTGGTACCACTGTACCACTTTGGCTTCAACATGTTGTAGGGGTCCTGAAACAGAGGGAGGATTACAGAAGGTCAGACAACATGAATCACAAAAATCTGAACATGTGGAACAGTACCAGTAATTATGTTTCATGTCCAAGTAAGTAGGCCAAGCAATGTAACCCCATTTATCTCCAGGAGGAGTTAATGCAATTAATAAAATGTTGGTCCAAACTTCACTGACCTTTGCTGGTGCAACTGTGACAATCGTAGTTCAGTATTTATGCGCAAGAACTTTCTGACAAGGAAAATACCTCGATGAGCTGTAATAAACTTCATATCTGAAATTAATTTCATAGACGGTCCCAGAATAACACAATGTTTTGGAATGCATTTCCTTTATCTATTTTGTTGCTTTCAATTTTAATCAATTTTATTGGTTTCATTGATTTTCTGTTTTGGTGTCAAATTGTTTTTACAGCGACACTGTCTTATGACGACTTTGAAATGAAACATTAATAAAGGTTGAGCGAATAACTGATTGCAACAGAGGAAAGAAACCAGATACATTGTTGTACCTTTCCCTCCTTCATGGCATCCATGATGATCTTTTCCAGCCCTGTAGCCTGCTCCTCATCAGTGGGAATCCCTAAAAACACAGGTAAATTACATACACAATGTTCAGGTGTTCTCCCAATACATTCTTTTAAGAAAAATGTAAAGGCTGTGAATACTAATATGACACAACCTTCAGTTTCCAACAACAGGGGGTGTTCCACTGTCATTTTTTTTCCCTTTTGCGAAGGTAAAAGAAATAAATTAGACCCTAAAGCAAACATTAAAATGTGCTTTCTTTAAAACATTTATGTTATTCATCTATCTATTATCTACACGACTCAACCACGACTCGAACATTATGTGATGCTAATATGGTGGAGTCGTTTGAAAAAAATGGAGAGAGAGCGACAGAAAAGTGAGGAGCGGAGTCAGTGCATGTACAGTGTGTGTGTGTGTGTGTGTGTCTGGTACTATCGTATAAGAGCTACGCAATTCTTTTATAGTAATCAACCGCTTATAGACATCAATTTGGCCTGGGATAAACATGATCACTATAAGCAGCTTTCACTACTAGATTTTAGTCGAGCAGGAGAGGCAGCATGAAATTAGGGCAGAGCCGCCTTGCAATTCTCTATTAAAGAAAAACCTCAGGTTCGGGCTTGTGTTGTTCAGTACAAGGCCAAAACACTTGGCTCTGGGATGCACAACTGAAGTTATATCCCTAACATTTGCTGGTGGCTGCTGACACCTGATAACATCTAATGGCAGTTGGGAACTTAAATTGTGCAGAAGACCTTCAAAAAGTTAAAGTGATATTCACCATCTTGTCCTACAGTGTATATCCTAAAATGGCAGTAATGTCGCACAGCATGGAAGCGAGGTGTCTCTATTATTGAAATATTAAAGTGCAAAATAAAACATTTTGTCTCTGAAAGTAATAATTGTGATATGTCTCACTATTATATAAAATTGTGAATATCACTAAGGCTGTAATTGTTCAGCTGACAAAGACTTTGGCAGCAGCTATGACTGTGTTTCTGGTTGATTCATTTTCAACATCTTCTTGGTGATCACTTCAGGTTCAGAGATAATATTTCATTGTTTTGTTGTAGCCTCCTGTAACGTAACTGCAGGACATTAGCCTCCTAAATCTGCTGATTGTTAATGAAATGTATTCTTCCCTCTGTCTGTATAAAGGGAACTTGTAACAATGTCTTCACACTCACAAGTGGCTGTGTGGTTATGTCGCTGACGACTCCGAAGCATTTGAAGACAGGCTCATTTTCATAAGTTTGACGCAGGGTTTGGATTTA